AAAATTAATAAGATAAAGGCAACAAAATCGCAACTAGCTTATATTCAGGTGACGCACTAACAACGAGGCGAACAGATTCAGACAAATTATTTGGCATAAAAATGAAACATTTTTGGAAGGCAATTCAACAGCAGTGAATTTACACATGCATGCACATGTACTTGCAACATACAGAGAATTCAATTAGCTTATACAAGCTTTATTTGAAATGCCGGCAGAACGTTTCTTTTTATATACAAGGCGCTTGGTCTTCCTTTTCCGGAAACTATCAGGCATCATTACATCAAACATTTTAATTCATATACATAACCTACTCATATTAGTTAAAGTGATATCGGAGTAAATGCATATTTACATACTTTTTTTTAATATTAAAGCTGATTTATAATTTTAATTAATATTATATAACAGATTAATATTTATAATTTACGAAAGTATAATTTATACATCAAAATTCCAAGACTTCAATATGGAAAATATTCATTTTAATTTTCAATTTAAATTAAATGTTTATCTTAATAAACAGAATTTCTTATAAATTATATAAATAAGAATTTAAAAATGTATTGTAATGAGAATTTGTTAACCTTTCATAATATATTTATTAATAAATACTTATTAATAATCTAGATCCTTAATTCAGATTTAAATCTTGATTTATATATTATTGTAAAATAAAATATTTTTTTAATTAACATTATTTAAACTATGTATCAAAGGAATTTGATAATATTTATTAATTTGAAAAAATGATCTATTCCTCTTATTAAACATCATTTATTTGTTTAACTCTATCTAATTATAAAATATTTATTTTTATTTCATAGTTATCTTTTTGAAATATTTCTTTAAAGAATATTAAGTATATTTTATGTATGTATTGAATATAATAAACTAAAAATTGTCAGTTTTTAAAAATATTTACAACTTGTATTAGAAACATATTACCTTTTATTTAGGAAACAATATATTAGAAATTAATATTGGTATCTTTATGTCAATTTGAAACAATTAGTAATAATTTTAATCATTATATTTTAATTAATCAGGTTTTTGATAAAACATTTAATCAAAATTGAAATTATACACATTTTTTGTATTATGAGTTACTTATAGTCAATTAAGTAAAAATGAAACAAGATTAATTTTTAAACTTAAATTAAAAATGTAGCTTTTAACTTGTTTTTCAATCAATAAAAAATGTTCATGCACATCTGTAATATTATTCGTATATGAAATGATTTATTAACTATTATGTGAAACTTTGTGTATTATTTAATGTTAAATTACAATTATTTCTGTAATTCTATTGTTTTATATTTCTTTAAATATAAATGAATAAAGTCATTTAATCACGAAAGTGACGTTTAGTATACTACATAATTTGTTTTTATTAATTAGTGGAAAGATAGATTCATATTTATAAAAATTAGTATTAGATTTTTGCACTTTATCACATAATTGTTTCTTTATTCTTTTTATTTATTTTTTCTTTTTCCTTGACTTGAGCTCTTTAAATTGTCTTGCAATTCAAAATATTTATTGTTAATTTAAGTGATATTTCATAATATGAAATAAAAAAAAAAAGAAAACAATAGCAAAAAGAGTCTAAAAAGAAAAGCTATTAATCAACCTCTCTCTCTTTCTCTCTCTGTTGAATGAAAAAAAAACAGATTAATATTAATTGTTACTGTTGATTAACCAGTAAGAATAAATATAATTATAGTTATTAATATATATATTTAAATGAAAAATATCACGAAATAAATATAATTTAAAATTTTTTTACAAGTATTCATATACTGTCCCAAGGAATAATATCAAGTGTAATAATTGTACTTTGTATATTCTTATGTATTTCAAACTTTCAAAAAAATCAAAAGTGTTGAAAATTTCAAATTCTTTAAAAATATTTAAAAATATAATACTATCTTATTTTATTTTAATATTTTACATGTTTGTAAACTACTTTAATATTTCTTATTAGTTATAATTAAGATATTTATTATTACATAATTAAAAGTAGAAAATTATAACACTAATTTTATATTTATAGAAATGGTGGAAGCCATGAAAAAAGTTGCTTCTCTAGATATAGAACTTACAGTAGAGGAAAGAAATCTTCTTTCTGTGGCATATAAAAATGTCATTGGAGCAAGACGAGCATCTTGGAGAATTATTTCCAGTATTGAACAGAAAGAAGAAACTAAAGGTGCAGAGGAGAAACTGGAAATGATACGCCAATACAGATCTCAAGTAGAAAAAGAATTAAAAGACATTTGTGCAGATATTTTGGGTGTGCTAGAAAAGCATCTAATTCCATGCTCATCAACTGGAGAATCTAAAGTTTTCTATTACAAAATGTAAGTAGTTTTATATTGTAAGTTTTTTTTACATATCAAAATAATTTGTAATTATTACACTAATATATTTAAAAACGTGTATTATATGAACTTTTAATCAAACTTATTATTAATTATTTATTAATTAATTATTACTAGTTATTTAAATATTTATAATATATTTTTAACTGTAAATTTCAGGAAGGGAGATTACCATCGTTATTTAGCAGAATTTGCTATTGCAAATGATAGAAAAGAAGCAGCAGAAAGTTCTCTCTTAGCGTACAAAGCCGCAAGCGATATAGCTATGACAGATTTGCCTCCAACTCACCCAATTCGCTTAGGATTAGCGCTTAACTTTTCAGTGTTTTATTATGAAATCTTAAATAGCCCAGATAGGGCATGTCGTTTGGCAAAAGCAGCTTTTGACGATGCCATTGCAGAATTGGACACTCTATCAGAAGAAAGTTACAAAGATTCCACTCTCATTATGCAGCTTCTCAGGGACAATCTCACTTTATGGACTTCAGATATGCAAGGGGATGGTGTGTATAATTTAAAATAATACCTTAAAATTCCTGTGAGCCATCTCCAATTTTGGTTTTTAAAATTGTTTATCCACATAAAATAAGGTTAAATTTCATTTCTTAGAAAATGATACTGAGATACCAAGATTTCAAGGACTTTTACATTAATAACCTATTCATAATAACCCTTTTCCTTTATCCTATAATTAATGAAAATGGAAATCCTCAGGTGAGCTATAAAATTATTTATGTAATCATGTTATAAAGAAAATTTTTTAAATCCATATGTTTATAGTTTTATTTCGATGTATTTAAATGGATTGTATGTACTTAGCTGATGCTGAGCAAAGAGAACAGCTACAGGATGTTGAAGATCAGGATGTATCGTAACTCTAGTTGCAGTGAGTGTTAAATACGCATATAAATGAGACAAGAAAAACTCTTAAGAATTATTAAGCAAAAGAAAAATCAGTTCAGCAACAAGGAGCTTGGGACAGAAAAGAAAGGTCTTTAGCAATTTGCGTGACCTTATATACAAACGCACGATTACTCCAAAAATCATCCAATCACACATGTTGAGTTACGGAGCATGCAGAAATAAAAATATATAATAAGGAAACAGATGTAAATGATATGCACCCAGCAATATAGTGAGATTGCAAGCATTTATACACATGGCAATTTTTTCGCGTTGCCGAATCGTGCAGTGAAAAAAAACTTTTGAGATCTCAAGTGTTATCCTTGCATAATGATGCCTGGATTTAAATTCTGTAGTAGCTACATCTTTTATTTATAAGGCATGGTCTGCACATAAACATTTTTTACGTTTCTGGTTGGATTATAAAAATGGAGAGATCCTGTTAGTGTATTGCACGAAATTTAATATGTTCATAGTATTAATATCATTTAATAATCTTTCTTTTCAGAAATTACTTAATGATGAATTGTAATAAATAACTAGGTTAATTAAGCAACATTTAAATTCTAAACATATTGCAAATTTATGACAATTATAATTTCGTTTTGATTTTCTTTTATCTCTCTTTTTTCCTCTCCATTATATGCATATAGATTATTGCATATATTTTATTAATAATATTTTTTAATGATCTATCATTCAATTATATTGATTCTTGTTTGATTTGAACACATTTCATGCCAAAAAGTTGCTAGAATTTTAAAGATTTTATATTTCATTCATTTTTAGAAAGAAATCTAAAAATTTTAATACTTATTTTTCAATTTCTTGTCATTAATAATTATTTAAGTATCGTAATTAATTGAATTATTTTCATAAGAATATATGAGTTTAAGTTGACAATATTATATTGTTTCATGTTTACAACTCAATCTCCTAGAAACTAATAAAGTATATTTATTCAAAACTTTGACAAAAAATCGGTATTGTAAAATCAGCTTAGTTGAATCATTTTACTGTTCATTCACTGCTTTAAGAAACACAAAAAAAACTTTTTTTTTTTTTTTTTTTTTTTTTTTTTTAAATTTTTTTTAATTTTTTTTCGTGTCGAAAATTTACAAGTTAAAAAAATTAATTAAAATTCTTGCATAGCCACATTTGTATTGAATATCTAGCAAAGTAATTACTTTATCTCGTAAGTGTGCATTTACATACATCTCTCATTTCAATGTATCAATACACATGTGAAGTGACAGAATAAATGGTTCTCTGTACTCTGATTGTCGATGTTTCATTTATTCTTTTTCTTCTAATAAAATTGAATATGTGATATTAATTCTCTATAAAAGAACTTAATAGTTAGATAAAATAAGTAAATCAATACCAATATTGGTAATAATAAAAACTTTCACTTTAAAACAAGAATAAAAATTTCTATTAATAAAATAAAAAACAAAGAAAGAATAAGAGAAGAGACAAATCAGAATTGTTTAGTTTCACAGAAAATTATATTCTTTCTAGTCGTTATGTAAGACAATATATTTTATATTCACAAAAATAGGAATACATATAATATTTAGTATCTAAGATATTTATTTTATATTATCTTGCAAATAAGTAAATTTCAAATAAGAGTCACTTTTAATAAATCTTTAAAGATACTTCAACTACTACAATTGTACTAACTGTTAAATAAAATAAAAATCTCTAAAATTTATGTATTCAAACCTGTAACAATTCGTAATCAAATTTGTTAAAAATAAAAACTTTATTAAATGCATTGCAAAATTAATTTAGTACAGTTATATTGATTGAAGTATTCTTATTGTCTGTTAATACATAATATCTAAATGATGCAATTATTTAGATATGATACAAAAATGCTATTTAAAATGATTTCCATTATTTCTATATTCAAATATCATAAATTAAACTTATTTCTATTGATTTTAGAGATTTATCTTAATTTAATATTATAAGTTCATGTAATATTTTTAAAAGATTTGTATTTTGTAAGAACTCCATAATAATTACAAAGCGTTTTGTGGTTTTATGATTTCACATTTTAAAGCATTAAGATAAATATTAAATATATATTTTTTTTTAAGTTTTTTTTCCAATAACTGTTATAAATTCTGTTCTGAGTAATACTACTCTATAATAGTGCATTATTTAGTTTAATTATTTGACATACCTGTTCAATTTATACATCTTCAATTAAAGATATATTTAGTATTAAATATATTTTGTTACAGAATTTATAAACAAATTATTTAATAAGCATATTTTTTTCAAAGAAAATTGAATAATTTCTACTTGTTCTCTTTTATACTTCAAAATTTGATTGAAATGCAGAATGTTCATATTTTAAAGTGGAAGTATATTAATATGCTATAATTTAATCTAACCAATTCGTCATGGATATTCATTACATTAATAATTAATAAGACTTTTTGATATTTAGAATAGGTATTTATGATAAAGCATGATTTGATAAAAATTAAGGTGCGGAGACTCAATAATCTTAAAATCCATAAATTTCGTGGCCCCGAAAGTATTATATCAATAAAAATTACGTAAAAAATATAAAATATTAAAATTAATAATTCTAAGTTCGGTATTTTTAATTATTTAAGGAATTAAGATAATTAAAGTACATTTTTGCAATATAAAAATAATAGCAAAAGAAGAAAAAAGTTTCTGGAAAATTATACATGTAAAAATGTAGTAATGAGTGTCGAAATGCATCTTAAATTAATCAATTGAAAAAAATATGCTGGTAATTCCTTAAAATAAATAAGAGTATTCGAAATATCAATATGATATCATTAATGAACTTTACAAAACCGTTTAATCAATAAAGAATTAGAAACAAAAGTCTTTCATATTTTTGATCCACATGCATATACTTTATTAGATTTAATGCAATTCACCAATTACTTGCCGTAAAGTCGCGTAAAAATTGAAAATAAAGCGATTACAACTTTCTGTAATTGCAATTTACTTTTTTTTAATTTGAATTAATGTTTTCTAAAAACTTTAATTATTGTTAAAAAGTAAATCTATATATTATTATACTGGTTATTTTATTCAGGATAAATTCTGAATTAGCAAGTACTTAAAAAATGTATATAATTTCATATTTTGTTAATGTCAGGAATGTAAATTTCATAAATTTTATATTATGTATATAAAAGTGACTTTATTTAAAAGATAATATAAATTTTCACAAAAGAAATATTTTTAACTACACAATAAATACATTGAAAAATTAATAATTGTCGAAAATACATTTTCTTAGTAATGTATTTTATATTATATTGTTTGTACATTTAAATGATTGAAATTAAAATAATTTTGTTTATATTATTTTAATTAATTTAAAAATAAATTTAATAAGACTTTTAATATATTTCAAACAAGTTTAAATGTAGTTGTAGAGTATCTTGATAAATCAATGATATACTTATTTTTTTTTTTTTGCTTTAATTGGTTTTGATAACCGTGATTTGGAGATAGCGGTCGTGATAAAAGTACAGCCTATTTTAGGCATAGGAATATTAAAAAATAAAGCACTTATGTTTTGCCATAATAGATTTTAGTTCAGTAATTTTTTTTTTGTACTATTTTTAATTTTGTCAATTATTTACAATTTACAATTTAATTTATTTTAAATTTAATTTACAATCAATTTATTATTGATTTTATGCAATTCAAGTTTTAAGGATTGTATTTTATTTGCTTGACTTGTATAAAATTATGAAATTGCTCATTGGTGATTCGAATTGAAATCCGAGTATATTATTAATTCATAATTAACCTTACATTGACTTTTAATATGGATTATTATAAATACTAGCTATTAATATTTTTATTTATTTAGAAATTATATATAATTTATAAAATTAATATTATGTGCAGTATATTTCATAATTTCAAGAAATTAGAAAGTCAGTCTTAATTAATATTAATTTTAACATTTTTAATAAGAATAATAATACTTACATTAAAATCACTTTTGATAGATGCTATGTTTATTAATAATTTTTTCAGATATTTGAAGATAATGAAAAATACTAAAAGATTTAAATATCCATACGTGTTTTAATTTTTTAGATAATAATAAAAAATTTTGACAATACTGATACATAAATCAATTAATCGTCTTATATCGTATTATTTATTATCAGTTAATAAGCGTATTAAGAAAATAATTGAAAATAATTTTCTTAATAGTAAACACGGAATTCATATTAAAAATCAGCTATCTTTAAATTATCTACATTATTATTTGTTTACTCATTAAATTACAATATTGTTCAGTTGCAATATGTAAAGAAACTTACAAAATTTTGCGTCTTACATATATTATTTGGTATTTACGTACCTGCTTATAATTTTCATTTTAACTGATATGTTTTTAAATAAAGCTAATATACTAATCTTCAAAAATAATTACTTATATTGCTGTTAATTTATAATTTGTATCTGCAGCAATTGGTAACAATATTTGAAGTATTATTCTTCAAGGATCAGAAATTATGTCGGTATTTCTAAATGTAATCTACTATTACAACTGAATTTATTTTTTAAATTCATTGTTAATTATAAAATGGAATTTGCAATTTTTTGATAAACGTTTATCTTTATTAAAATCTTTTTTTATAAGAATTTGTATTCTTTATATTAATTTTATTTTTAAAATTATATTGCATTGTTTCATTTGCCAAAGTAAAATTTGAAAAATTTGATTTAATAAAATCTCAAAACAAAATCTAAACTAAAATATGAATTTTGTATTTGAAAATATCACTTAATAATGTTAATTTTATGTATAATATCTACAGTTATGAATTATTGTTCATGTTGATGAAATAATTTTGATAAATTTGTATGATTTTATTTACATTTTTTATTTTTACATCAGTATCATCATTTAAAATTAGATCCTTATCCTTATATTATGAATTATTTTGTTTAAAAAATTTTTTCATAATCTTTAGTTCTCTGTAAATTAATGTTTGTATCTAATGTAATATTAACAAAAAGTATGTAATATAAACAAAAGCATTTGAGATTTCTATATTTTACATTAAGATATCAAATTATTTTGGTTACTGAGTGAATCTGGTAAAATGATCATTATGTTGTATTTTTCAAATTTTTTTTATGTACATTAATTCAACTTATTTTTAGTATTAGTACAATTATTTAGAAACAATTTAATATATCAATCAAAATATTTATATAAATTTATTAAAATCTTTATGTTAACCATTTCAGATTTTTTTTATAAATATTTGAATAAAATGTTTTAAATTAGAAAATTTTTTTGGTTAATGGATCACAGCTGTACCTTTATAAATTTATCTTTAAATATAGTTTTCATTTGAGACTGAATGATAGCATAGTAATAAATTAATAAATAGTAAGCAATGAGTTTGTTACAATTATTGTTGTTAATGAAGATTCAAAATAGATATTTTTATATAGAATAAAATGTAAGTAAATCATATTATTTGGATTAACTTTTTATAAGTTAATTACGAAGATGGCATATTATATTATAAATAGTACATGTTATTATATTTTGAAGGTAAGTAAGTATTTACACTGCATATATTATTTAATGTAAATTTTAATTGTATAGTACAATATTGCATGAATCCAGCCATACTATTAACTATCTTGACAATTTGTTATGATAGTCAATTATTTCCATAAAAAAATCAATACAATTATTTATTCTTATTTACAAAGTCTTCTCCTTTTTGAATATTTTTTTTAAGCTCTGGAATAGCTGCAGTAATAAGCTTGCATTCAAAATCACTTAATTTTCCAAGACCAAGGTTCTTTTCTACACCATTTTTCTATAAGATGAAAATAATTAAAAATTTTTAAATATAAAATAACAATTTTGATAAAAACTTATCTTTTAATACCTACACCTAGCAAAATTGGAGTAGAAAAATATTTTGTTTCAGTAACATTAGATCTAACATAAGTACATTCAACAATATTGGTTTCACCATTTAATGCTTTAATTAAAGAAAAAACAAATCGAGCTCCTGCATAAGCCATTGACAAAGTAGCAGAACCTGTACCAGCTTTAGCTTTAACTACTTCTGTACCTGCTTCTTGAATCCTTTCTGTAAGAATCTCAAGTTCATTTGATGAAAAAGATATCGATGGTACACTTTGAGAAATTAAAGGGATTATGGTAATGCCACTGTGCCCTCCAATGACTGATATATTAATTTTTCTAGGATCTAGTCTCTGAAATTATTGTAAATTTTATAAGCAAATATAAAAATGAACATTTAACATTTATTTTAACTTTATTTTAATTCAAAGCATCCTTATTTTATATTTTGTTATTATGAATAAAAAAAAGTTAACATTTAATATATAAAATGGTTTTTTTATTATGAATTGTATTATGAATCATTTAGTTTTTTTAAAATAAAATTGAAATATTACTAGCAGTTTTAAAATAATACCTTAAAGTCTCCGACAAAGGTATTTGATCTAATAATATCAAGTGTGGTAACTCCAAATATTCTATTAGGATCATAAACTCCAGCTTTTTGAAAGACTTCACTCACAATTGGCACAGTACTATTTACAGGATTAGAAATAATTGCAACAAATGCTGTTGGTGCTACATCTGCAACAGCTTGTGCGAGATCACGAACAATAGTTGCATTTGTATTGAAAAGGTCATCGCGAGACATTCCTGGTTTACGAGGAACACCAGCAGGA